GAAGATCAAATGCTTCAAGTACAAATGGGGACACATGCAGCAGTTTACACACATAGCCCTGGTGTGGAAGGTATACACCAGACACAGTGTGAGAGAAGCCTCAGGTTCATGCATCCTCTTCCCCACACAGAGAACATTTTGCAGATCAGCACATGGAAATAACCACAAGCATCTTAATTTATTTATTTATTTCTGGGGTTTCTACCCTGGCCTCCCCCACAAGTGGGATCAGGGCGGGTTACAGTAAACCAGCAAAACAAATAAAAACAATTTCTATATCATTCTAATTAAAAACCTGAAAACCAGACTAATTGATACATGATGGCGAACTGGTAATCCAACAAAGCCCTGGTGTATGCTGTATGTATGCCCCAAAAGGGCCAGAATATTAAGCAGGTGGGTCCTCCAGATCACCTCCTATGGGACAAACTGGCATACAGCACAACAGAGGCAGGTTAGGGTAGGGGAGGCCGATGTAATTAGACACCCACCACCAGTGTTCCCTCTAAGCTGAGTTAGTGTGAGCTAGCTCACAGTTTTTTAGCCTTCAGCTCACACATTTTTGTCTTTGTTTAGAAAGGATGGCTCCAGAACAAACTAATTTATGCAGTAGCCAAATCGCTCGCTCACAAATTTAATGCCAGCAGCTCACAAAGTAGAATTTTGGCTCACGAGACTCCACAGCTTAGAGGGAGCATTGCGCCACCACCTCAGCCAAAGGCCTGGCGGAACGGCTCCACTCTACAGGCCCTGTGGAATTGTGACAAGTCCCTCAGGGCTCTGATCTCACTTGGGAGCATGTTCCACCAGGCTGGAGCCGGAGCCGAAAAGGGTCTGGCTCTGGCTGAGGCTAAGTGGATGTCTTTTGGGCTGGGGACTACCAGAAGATTTTTTTTTTAATTTTTATTTTATTAGATTTGTATCCCGCCCTCCCCGCATAGCAGGCTCCAGGCGGGTTCCATCATAGATAATATACAAACTGTTAAAGACAATTTGTTGTTGTTGTTGTTGTTGTTCAGTCGCACAGTCGAGTCCGACTCTTCGCGGCCCCATGGACCAGATCCCGCCAGGTCACGTGATTAAAATACATCGATTAAAATACAACTACTAATTCCTGTATTTCAAACCAGCACCTCAACAGGTGAGGTCTACTACAATTTGAGGTTCTTTTTTTATTTTTAAGTTTTTATTTTGCATTTTCCAAACAAAGAAAAACATTTTTAATACATTTTCATATAGGTACATATATTTTGAGTCACTTTTCATTTTCTAACCACTTATATAGTCCTGACCATCTTTCAACAAATATCTCTTCATTTTTGCCCTGCAGTATCAAATTTAACTTATCTATTTCCACTACCTCCATCATTTTATAACCTACTTCTTCTATTTTAGGTGCATTTCCCATTTTCCAATATTTGGCCCATAATATTCTTGCATCTGTAACAATGTATTACATATTTTTCATTAACGGTAAGCATTTCCGGCATCATATTTAACAAATAAATTTCAGGCATCAACTCAATCTTTACATTAACCCTCTATTATTTTCTGTATAGATTTCCAATATTTCTGTACTTTTACACATCTCCACCACATGTGGTAAAATGTTCCCACATTTAATCTACACTTCCAGCATGTATTAGAACAGTTAGCATAGCATTTTGCTAGTCATTCTGGTGGCCAGTACCATCTATGGAAAATTATAGGGAAATTATAGACGACGCATCTAATCCATTGAAGGGTAAACCCAATAGAGTGTGGACACGCAGCCGTCTCAACTAAAAGCTGGGCAGAAGAGCTCTGTCTTGCAGTCATATATGGGAGCTCATTCCACCAGGTAGGGGCCAGGGCCAAAAAAGCCCTAGCCCTGGTTGAGGCAACACAGACATCCCTGGGGCCGGGGGATCACCAGAAGATGCTGATTTGCTGATCGTAAAGTTCTCCGGGGCTCATATGTTGTTCAGACAAGCGTGCTCTTCGGGAGACATATTGGGAGAGAAGGTCCTGTAGACCCTGATCACATGATTCACCAGTTTGGAATAAAGGATAGACAGGTTCTGTGAACAGTTCCTACTCCTGCAGCATCAGCTTCAACACAGGCTGGTAGAACCAGTGTGGTTTAGTATCCAACCAGAAACGGAATGACCCAAGATCTAATGATGGAACTGATCAGGGGACTGTGGCCAGTCACTTTCTCTCAGCCTAACCTCCCTCAGCGGATTGTTGTTGTTGTGAGGATAAAAATGGAGAAAAAGAGGAACATATACACTGTCTTGAGATCCTTGGAAAAGAGCGGGATAAAAATATGACAGGCCAGTAGAAAGTATGCACAAGCCCCATGCTGGCTACAAAAACTTGCTGCAAATTCAGGCCAGGTTTAATCGATGCCAATGATGCTCTAACAAAAACAGAAATACTGCATTTTGTGTACACTTCCTATACATGAAGCAGCATACCACACATCCCTCATTAGGCTCAAAGAGCAATCCTAAGCAGGTCTACTTGGAATCCTACTCGGGATCCTGACTCTCAGGAAGGTGGTCTTAGGGCAGGACTCTCAGTCTCTTCCAGGACAGCAGATGTATTAACACATTCAGTGGCACTAAATTAATATACTTTAAAGTTCTAGCAATACACAAGAACTTGGTTCTCCCCGATTCTAGCCCATCACTCTTAACTACCACACCATGCTAGGTGTGGTTAGAGTGACGGACTAGGATCTGGGAGAAGTAAGTTCTAATCCCTACTCAGTGATAGAAGCTCCTAGGGTGACCTTGGGCCTGTCATCTTCTGTCTCTTTCTAACTTACCTCACAAAGGGTTGTCAGGTCCCCCCGGCGTGCGGGAATCCCCCAGTTTCCAATGTGTGTCTCCCCGCGCCGGCCAGCTGACTGGTAGGGGAGAGTTATTGCACCCAACGCAATGTGCCTACGTCACCCAGAAGAGATGTAGGCACGTCAGTGATGTCAGGGAGGTGACACTCTAGGTTTGGGGCAAAACTCTATGGTAGAATTAGCTTCAAACCATAGAGTTTTGCCCAAAAACCAGAGCATCGCCGCCAACGTTACTGATGTGCCTATGTCACTTCTGACTAACATAGGCACGGCGCTCCCGATGTCCACACGTCTTCCAGAAGTGACGTAGGCACGGCATGCTTTTTCCTTCCCCTCTCCCAGAGTGTCACGGTAAGTCCCCTGCCGGCTTGTCGTTCAGACCTGGCAACTCCAACCTCACAGGAGGGGAGCAGGGAAGAACTGTGTTATAAGCTGCATTGGGTCTCCATTGGCTTGAAAGACAAGCTTGAACTCTTAAAAGTTCTGGCGAATAAATTACGGGGGGGTTTTAGCGCGTACCCACAAAATTGCTGAACACTGAGGTAAACAAGAACATAGACAGCTTCTTAAATAAATCTGAGAAAATTGTGGAAAAAATTCAAGCTTTGCAAATGAAAGCGGAAGACACTGATGTTAAAAGTGCTTGGAAGAGGAGCATTTGGGAAAGTATAGCTGATAATAATCAGAATCATCATAAGACCAGTAAAATTACATTTCAGTGATGGCAGGTTTGCACATGAATACATTTTAAATTTTGGTTTGATATCTTTAATGTATTTTAAGTATTGTTTGTATTTGTGTGTGTATGTCTGGAAATCATGGCAACGTCTGGCGACCCCTAGCGGGGCACAGAGGACATTCAGAGTAGTGGCTTGCTATAGTCTGTCTCTGCCTCCCGGCCCTGGTATTCTTTGGAGATCTCCCATCCAAGTACTTGCCAGGGTCGGCCCTGCTTAGCTTCTGAGATCTGACAAGATCATCCTTGCCTGGGCTATCCAGGTCAGAGCATATTTTAAGCTACCTTGAGCCCCATAAGGAAGAAAAATGGCTAATAAATTAATTAAAATATCATAAACAGGCAGGAAACAGTAAATGTTCAGCAAAAACATTTGCGTGGGGAAAGTAAGATTCTTATTCTAAGAATCTGATTGTTGATAATAGAATGACAGGAGTCCTCAGCTCTTACAGTAGATCTAAAGCCATGCAGAAAGATACTCAACCCAAGTGCCTTGCCCAACAAGAGTAAACAGCAATGCCTCTCACCTTGCGGATCTGCCTTTTTGTAAGCATTTCCTGCATCCACAAAACAGGTCGCCGAATCGTGTTTACTCGTCAACTGCATGTGGAGCTTGGCTGCCTGGCAAAATGCATTTCCTGCAGCTGGGGGTGAAAAAAAACAGCCCAACATTTCATTATTGTCAGTACTATATCATAAGAAGCAATCAGAATGACAAAAGCACAGCAAGTTCTCACGCAAAAATGTTTTGCTTTACCGTTTTCATGCTTACGCTGCAAAATCCACAGTTATTAATATACCTATGAGTGCGTGACGCTGGTTTAAAGCAAGTTAGATCATTGGTCCATTGACCTCGATACTGCCTGCTCTGTGGTGGAAGCCCTCTACAGTTGCGGAGTTCCTTAATCTTCATTTCTCCCCTGGGCACTCCATTTTGGAGCAGTTAGCACTAACGCCAGGCTTTGGAAGGCAGAACGGCATAGGTCCCCTTGCACGGCAAAGACCCCTCTGTGTGGGAATGTATAATTTGGGGGTGCAGAGCCTCTTAAAATACTATTTATTGTTGGATTAGAAAATAAGGAACTGGGAACTGAAAACAAGGAACTGGGAACTAGTTCCGAACTTTGGCCTTGTCAAACAGAGAAAGGGATTTCCTAATACCTGAGGGCCCTTTCCTGGGGATGCCAGGAATTGAACCTGTAATCTTCCACAAGCAAAACCACACACTCTTGTCACTGAGCCACAGACACGCCTACAGTTCATTCTAATTCTTAAGAGGGCAGCGTTCCTTAAGTTCGACCTTACAATGAATATCCAAATGTTCTGGATCGTTGACTCAATCAGAATATCAGTAATAGCAAAACCTGAGGAAGTTCTCACAAATTATACCTGGAAATCTTTAAATTATGACTGAGTAATCATTCGTACTGAGACTACTATTCTAGGTGATACTTATTAGCTCCGATTCTCTCAGCCTCTTGTTATTCGTCCCCCTGACTAGGGCAGACCGTCTTCCACATATAAGAACATAAGAGACGCCAATGTTGGATCAGGCCAAAGGCCCATCCCGTCCAACACTCTGTGTCACACAGTGGCCAGAAATACCAGTGCCATCAGGAGGTCCACCGTTGGGGCCAGGACATTAGAAGCCCTCCCACTGTTGAACCCCCCCCAAGCACCAAGAAGACAGAGCATCACTTGCATCACTTGCCCCAGAGCCCCTATCTATACCTTGTGGCTAATACCCACTGATGGACCTCTGGTCCAGATGTTCATGTAATTATGTTATAAGTAGGCCAATCCAGTAATATCCCACAGGCTTATAAAGTGATTCAAAAATGTGTACTGTGTGTTCGTGTGATTCTTACCCTCCACTTTCTTTACTATGTACACCAGCAGTTTCTCTGTTACCCTGATTGCACATTAACATTTGTCTCCCTTGCATTCCCCATCTCGTTCCACACACAGAGACAAACGCAAAGAATCTATAGAGCATGTATGAGTACGAAGGCAGCCCAATCTGCTTTGGGTCCCTTCTCTCAGGTAGCTTTCCACATTCTCTATCTCTACCCCTTCTCCCCTCCAGTGTCTCAACACTACTAGCACACATTTCTCCTACTCCTTGCATCAGACCCTCACTGAAATTAGAGCGACTAGCTAGACTGGCTCACTAGAAATGGCCCCAGAGGTACGCCGAATGGAGAAACATAGGAGGCAATCCAGAACTAAGCACATTCACCAAAACTCATGTAAAAAATGAAAACATAACATGGAAAACTGACGCACTCCAAAACCATGGATGAACATTTTAATCCCCCACGGCATTCTGTTGCTCTTCTAAAAGTTCCTCTATTCTCCTATATAAGAGCACCAATGAGAGAATCCAATGTGAAATGGCTGATTCAGAATTCATCAGGAAGTTTAACACCATCTCCTGCCCCCATGTCTTAACAAGGATTTCTAATTTCTCACCAACTAGAGGTGCTAATATCTTGCATATTCCACCTCTGACAAATGTTAATTACTTCTCTCTATAACTTTCTAATTGGAACCGCTTTTTATATTTCATCCTGCACTTTCATCGGTCAGATTTTATTTTAATCCTACTTTGTCCATCTATCAACAGTTAGGGACCAGTCCTCACTTACTCTGAACGGGTGGACTGATTACTCTTTTGATTGGATATTGATTTAAATTGGCCTGCCCTTTCTAGCATCTCCCCCACACACTCTTCTGTTGTTTGCAGCCTTTAATATCAGTACGTCGGCTTAACGAATGTACGATTCATGCACTCCATGAACTGAACTCTGACTTGCAAAAGCTTAGGTTGCATTAAAATTGTAAGCTGCCCTGAGCCTGCCTGCGGCGGGGAGGGTGGGATGAAAACTGGATAAATAAATAAACACAAAGGTCGATTCGGGGGGGATCGCAGGGGGTGGGGCACACGACGAAGCCCCGCCCCCTGCTTCCGGCCGCCCCGCTCCCAGCCCTCATTGAGCCAGGAGGAGGCAGGAGAAGAGCCTTGCAGGTCCACCGCCGGTCCCCTGATGGGGCTTGG